GGTTGTACGATTACATATGGGAAAAATGGAGGCTGATCCTCTCTAGCTTTATAAATTTCAGGGTAAAGTGCTATGAAAAAGTAACCTCTGGCACATGATAAAAAGACACTATCTGCATATCTTCAAACTAAATATCGTAAAAAAGGAAGCCAACCTGACACGTTTTAAATAACTGAATGGCCATTTAAAAACATGCAATGTAATTCCACACGGGAAAAGTATTTGGCTACTGCTTTTACAGAGGTGTTCACACTTGCTGATCTGTTAATCAAGTGCTTTTTAAATTTTAAATATTTGCACTTTTTGTTTTTACTGTATATTAAATTAAATACTGTAATATAGTAAGAAAATATTGTTTTTTTTGTCATAAAACATTGATGTACCTAAATACTTAATATTAAGTTACAAAACATAATTGCGGATGTGATGCTTCTTTTGAACACTTGTACATAAAATAAAATGCAAAGTCTGAGATGTGATATACTTCATGCCTTCTCCCTGTCTATATGTATGCAGAGGAACATATATGAATGGGTGAGGGACCATTGCCTCCACCACAAATATGTATGCACAGACGCAGACCCTCACAATGCCTCACGGGGATTTTTCTTCTCCCACATTGGTTGGCTCCTGGTCCAAGAACATCCTGACTGCGCTGAAAAGAAACAGAAACTCAGCCTGTCTGACCTGACGACAGATAAAGTGGTTATGTTCCAGAAACGGTGAGCAAACCTTAATGCAGACACTGATTTGGATCATAAAAAAAGTACAGTTATGCAAGACTCATTCAATCAACAACAAGCCACAGAGTGCAATAATGCACCTCATACTTTATTGGTAGTCCAGTTGATTTCTTTCCAAGCTCCTTAGAGTAGCAAGACTTGGATGACTGAGAACCTACACAGACATACTTTATTACTGTTTCTGAGCTTGATTTCTGCAAAACAATGTTGAAAAGGGAGTTTGGCCTTGAATTGATTTAGTAATGTTAACTTTTTGGTCACTAGTAAACATTTACACTGTTCTGGGCAAATCCTCCTCTGCTAATGATGGTCAGTGACCTGGTCAGAGGTACTGAGGAAGTTGTTGCCCTAATAACGATGATGTTGGTGCTCTTCATGCTATGTTTGATTTCTGTTCCATTTGGAGTCACTGGTAGTTCAGGAGGTAGAGCAGGTCCTATCTGCTCTAGTCTGCCTGCCTTGGAAAAGATACTAACCCAAGTATGTATGTGGATGTTACATAGAAAGCACTTGCTGAATGTGCTGAATGAATGGATGAGACATGTTGTATAAGTGCTCTGAGTCCTCCGGGAGAGTAGAAAAGCGCTATGTAAGAATTTGTCCAATTACCATTCAGAGTTTGTGCGTCTTTGAAACTAGTCCAAAAAAATGTTCATTGCAAACCAAATTGTAGCCAACTAAGAATGGATGCATGAGATGCTATCTGTTGATTTATTTCAGACATTACGTGGTGTCTATGCTGGTC